TTTGAAGTGGAATTGTAATACAAGTTGGAAACTAAGTCAAAAAAAAAAGAAAGAGAGATAACAAGAGTTAGAAAAAACAATGAGAGAACGCCGGTTTAAAAGAAATAATCGCCGCTCCCCGGGTCGAACAAGAGACCTCAGGGAACAGTAGTCGAGATGTCGATTTCTTGCTACTACCTTTTGAGGGAATAATGGAATTTCACGACTTCAACCACTGCACCCCAAGGTCAAGATATTCATGCATATTATATAGACACGACTAACTAATTTCTTTCCTCCGGAAACATGTTTTGTTGACTTGAGCGTGAGACGCGTCGCTGGCACATGATCGCGTCTCGTCTTCTTCTCTGCCACCATCATGCCTCGCACAGGGCCGACTGCTCCCTCTGGACATGCTCTACGCCACCTCGGCCATCAAGTTCAGCTCTCACGTCCCCGCGCCAGCAAGTCCAAGGCTACCAGGGCGTCTGACGATCTCCGACTCGCCACTGTGCGAAAGAGCAAAAGTCTGCTCAATGCCGCCATCGACGCGGAGTTCCTCCGTCGCGAAGAAGCAATCGGCGAGATTGCCGAGTCTTCTAACAGGAAGCCACAGTACGTCCGCTCGCTCTTGAGCAGCGCGAGTCAGTACAAAGCAACGCGCAAGCCGAGCTTGCGCAACGCCGTTATACACCAACGCTGCATCGACCAGCCCGAAGGTGTGTGTTCTATAAATTACATTTCCACCCACCTAATTCCTTCAGGGTCCCACAAAACGCTACAGGAAATTCGTGAGGACTTGGCCGAGGACGAGAGGCTCGGGCTCTTCGACCTGACTCGCATCGACGACGACGAGAAGAAGCGCCTCATCAAGCAGCTCCTAGAACACCGCAAATTCAGGCGGACAGGGATCCGTGCGACGACCAAGTCGCAACGGCTCGATAACACCAGGACAGGTCTCGGTATGGGGAACACAGTAAGAGCGCTTGTAATCTTCTTACCTTTGAATTGGCGCTGAAGGATTTCGTAGCTCAACGACTTGTTCGAGCGCACGGGTGCCCGCGGCATTGTCATGCTCTCGCGGGGAAAGGCCGACGACCCGACGGTGCCGCAGATCATCGACTCGGACGACGCGAGTGGATTTTTTTTGAAGGCCTTCGGTCTCTCGAAGGTCGAGGTAGTCCAAAAATTTGAGCAGTACAATGTCTCGCGCGACGATGGTATGTTGTTTTTGCTACGTTCGTACTCTCTCTCAGTACTAACTGCTGCATGCTAGGTACCGATGAACAGAACGGTGTGCGCGAGATGCGCAAGGCAGTCGGGAGGACGCTGCTTGATGGCTTGAGTATGTTTTTATTTACTGGTTCTTGCATTCGATTTTATGCTAACCCAATTCAAAGCTCTCATTGCCGGCAAGAAGCAGCACAAGATGGAGTACCTTAACTATGACGTTGCGATCCGCGAGGGCAAGGGCGTTGAGCTCGCGGGCTGGCCCGCCGATATCAAGTTCGCCGATCATGCCAACTGGAATGCGGAGACTCTCCGCCACGTTCGCAGCTCCCTTCACTCTGGCGCCATTCACTGGGTCAAGATGACGAAGACCCAGCACGATGAGCTTGTTGCAAAGCACGACGCGCAGCGCCAGGCGTTGGGGGCGGGCTCACTGAGGCCCCGCAAGCAGCGCAGCGATAAAGGTGAGGCGCGGGGCCCTCAGAAGAACAAGAAGCAGGCGGCGGCGGGGAAGACAAAGGGGAGGAGTCGTCGCGAAAAGGAGGAGGACGAGGACGAGGACGAGGACAGTGACGAGGACGACAGCGATAAGGAAGACGACAATGCTTCCATCGAGCAGCATGCGCACGGCGGCGCAACCAGCACACCCACCACACCACCCACCCTTGTCCCGGGCGTGGGCCTTACCAGCTCCCTCGCCGCGGCTATCCCAGCGCTCGCGACACAGTCCTTCAATGGGGGCGCTTGTGCACAGCTGAGTGTGCTTCCGGAGCACATGCCCAGCCTCCCCACTTTCGTCATCTCTGACAACTTCGACTTCGAGGACCCCGAGTTCCTGGAGATGCTCAACGACCACACCGCTTGGATGGCCGCCGAGGGCGGGAGCACCGCGCCGCAGACAGACGCCGGATCGATGGCATTCGTAACACCACCCCTTTCCCTCGAGTACAACTCCACCTCTGCGCTCGCACTCTCCTCCAACGCCACCGGCAACTCAATTGCAGCAACCCACTCCAATGGCGCCGGGAGCTCAAAGCGCAAGAGGGCAGCGGAGGACGAGTCGACCCAGCGTCCCAAAAAGTCACGGAAGGCCAAGGGCGTGGAGAACACGCCGCCTGCTGCGGCCGATGGGGAACCCGTGAAGAAGCCGCGCAAGAAGCGCTCCGACGCGGGCGTTCCCCGCAAGTCCAAAAATGGGGCTGGGAGCACGGTGTGATAGGGTCTCCGGTCAGCGCGCACGCTCCCGACGACAACGCTGACTGCCCATGTGTCCCTACGTACCTTTCCTACTTTATGTTGTTATGGCGTACACTGTGTGGACTTGGGGATTGAAACATGTTTTTTTCTATGCTTAAAATGTGATTATATTGCTCATACTGGATGCTGTGGATATATAAACTTGCTATATTAGTGTTCATCCATCCACCTCTGCCCCGCATTTTTTTCGCAAATTTACCTCCATTTTTTAGGGCCTCACGGACTTGCTGGCGGCAGTTTTGATGACTACTGATGGCAGTGATCAGGCGCGGCGGCGCGCCGCCGCCTTTGATGGGAGATAATAACGATAATAAAGATAATGGATACACACCGATATCAGGCGCGACGGCGCGCCGCCGCCTTTGATGGGAGATAAATAACGAAGTTATTAAAGATATTGAATACACGCCCCGACATCAGGCGCGATGGCGCGCCGCCGTGATTGATGGGAACTAATAAAGATATTGAAGTTATTGAATATCTACTGGTAAATAGCAGTCCTATTAGCTCTAAAGTTACCGAAAGATCTGAAATACACACCTTTTAACGGTATGTACTTAGATTAGAGGTGGAGATCAATATGATATCCACCTCTTGTTTCAGTTGTTTACTGGGCTATACAGGTGCGCCGGAGTAAGTACGCGGCGATGGAGGACTCGAAGGAGGAAGAGAAAGGAAGAGTGGGGATCAACGAACATCCACGTGCGATTGCGCCATCGTTGATCGCGCACCGACCATCAGCGGAGCTTGAAACACTAATTTGAACTGAATCCACCACTTATTTCACCGGGAATATTCGAAAACTTGATGCCAAAGATGCAAGACGTTGCAAGACGTGTTTACAAAGATGCAAGATGTTTTCCAAAGACTAAAGACTCTCAAAGATGGCTTTGAAAGATGTAAGATCCCAAAGACAAATGTGCACATTTACTGATATGATTACGTGCGTTTGAAACAGCTGACGAGGAAACGTGGGTTCGATTCCCGCGGAGGCATTAGAACCGTCCATGTAGAACTTTTTTTCGTTTTCCTGGATATTAATTCTTCTTCTTCTTCCCTACACTCCGCTTTTTTTTTGCAGTCTTCGCTCCTCAACAGAGTGTTGGTTGGAACTTGGAACTCCGGGTGTGGGATGTGGGTGGTTGAAATCTGAAACAAAGGCAAAGAAAGGGCATGATCAAAAGAACATGAGTGCAGCATGACGCCCCCGTAGCTCAACGGTTAGAGCGCCTCGATATCCTCCATTTCAGCTACTAGAGTTGAACGAGGAGACGTGGGTTCGAATCCCACTGGGGGCGTATGGTAATTGCATGGCTGTTTTGCTTTTTCTCGGCTTTTTTATTGATTGATTTCTTTCTTTCAGTATAGAAAAGGAAGTTAGAGTGGGAGGGCGTTGGTCTGCTTTATTTTATAATAATTCATACAACCTGAAGCTTGCTGTAAGGAGCATGCATACATAGTGCCAGAGCCCGCTTGCCGTTCAGCCTCTGTGAATCGCCTCGACGTATTGCATCACTGTGTGCGTTCGAAACGGGTGCTGACGAGGAGACGTGGGTTCGATTCCCGCCAGAGGAATTAAAAACGGTCAATGTCGGCCTGTTTTCCTTTTCCTGGATATTAAATTCTTCTTCTTTTTGGCAGTCTTCCCTCCTCAACCAAGTAGCACTCTTACTTGGAGTCCCGGGCCGTAGTTGAAATCAGAAAGTGATACCGACGTCGAGTGCCTAGCACTACAGTATTACTGTCCACTACTCATACTTACATACACAAAATACAGGTGTGCTTCCGTAGTTCAACAGTTAGAGCGCCTCGATATCTTAGACACAGTGCTCTCAAGTTTAACGAGGAGACGGGTGTTCGACTCCCACTGGGCGCATCGTCCAAGAGATTAACTTTTTTCTCACTTTATCGGAATTTCTGGCAAGGGCCCAAGTCATTGAACGAAAAAGTAGTAAGTATACAGTAGTTGCACTCCCATTTTGCTTTTCTCGGCTTTTTCTGTCTAATTCTGGCTATTGGATCTTGGACTTTATTTAGTCCACAGCGATGTATCATGTAGTCTCTCGTAGACAGACGCTACAACATTTTGCTCGTACCTCCCAAGTTGTATGTATCATGTCGAAAAGGAATTTGGGGCCGGAAGGTGTCGGTGTGCTTTGAACAGTGAATTAGGGCTGTAGGATGCATGGATACATAGTGCCAGAACCCACTTGCCGTTGAGCCTCTCTGTGGATCGCCTCGACACATTGCGTGCGTTCGAAACGCGTGTGGACGAGGAGCCGTGGGTTCGATTCCCGTCCGAGGCATTAGAAGCGGTCTACGTCGGCCTTTTTTTTTTGGTTTTCCTGGTTATTAAATTCTTCTTCTTCTTCCCTAAATACCGCTTTTTCCTTTTTTTGGCAGTCTTTCCTCCTTAGCAGAGTGTTGGTGGTTGGAATCCCGGGCAGTGGGTGGTCGAAATCAGAGAGCAGAAAGTGATACCGCCTACCACTGCTCATACTGACATAGAGAGTAAAAGGCAGGCAGAGTGGCACGCCTCCGTCGCTCAGCGGTTAGAGCGCCTCGATATCTTCGAGAAAATCGCATAGTTCATGAGGAGATGTGGGTTCGACTCCCACCGGAGGCATCCGATTTGATGACTTCCCTTTTTTTGATTTCGGGGTGGTATGTACACTTGAGTTGCCGGCGGCGCAGGAAAGATTTGTATCCCTCGAGTTTTTTGTTGTCTTCTCTTTTGAGGCAAGTGTATAGAGCAGAGATGGGGGAACAAGAAATGAGATCTCCAACAAGAACAAGAGAAGCAAGGAGACCCTGCATCAAGAGATAGGTACGCGGTGAGTTCCGTCGATGGAGTGATTGCGTACTGCCAGCGCAGAGCGAGGTCGTGTGGTGCATCCGCCGCGATAAGACATATTGGGTGGGGAACGAGGGTGTCTACATTCCTGCAATCCTGTAACTTAGGACCCTTAACAGAAATAGAAAATAGAAAGCCATGGCCCGTGCGCATCAGAGACTTGTGTGGTTCTTTGACGTGTCCCTCAGGACGATTGTTTTCTCCCCTCCCTCCCTTTGTGCGTGTCTCTTTATTGCACCACCCCACACACTCGTTGGTTCCCAAGACACACTCGTTGATTGACTTTTAACCCTCCTTGCCTTCGTTTACCCCTCCTTTCACCGTACATAAATCGTATATAACTCGCTGGAATGACGCACGGACATGGCCCCGACGGACAGGCCGCCTATTCCGCCACGGCGCCATACCCGCCCTACTCGTTTGATATCGACATGATGAAGGTATTATCCGTTGCTATGCACCTTATTGCGTTGTTCTCATTTGTTTGTTGTCTCCTTTCCCTTTCCCTTTCGCCATTCGCCCCTTGCTTCACTTTGTTCGCTTCCCTTCAAATCCCTTGGATAACCCTTGCCCTTTGTCACGACGAAACGCAAGCAGCGCTCGATGGACACCCCCGCGGGCCCCGACTCCAAAAAGGCCAGATGGTCCCCCACCGCCGCCAACCCCTCCCCCTCCAACGCCAACAACGCCAACGCCAGCCCCAGCGCGTACGCAAACTACGGCTACGGGCCCAACGCCACCGCCGCACAGGCGCAGTACACCCAGCAGCAGCAGCTCTACGCCACGCCGCAGCTCAGCATCAACACCCACGCCCTCGCCAACAGCGCCCAGCAGGGCGGCCAGATCAGCCCGAACACGCTCGCGGCGTTCCAGGCGCAGGTGCAGGCCCAGCAGCAGCAGGCCGCTGGCGGGCAGAGTCCCGTCGTGGGGCAGGCGCAGGCGGGCAGCCCGTATGCGCAGTTTAGTCCGTATGGCATGTGGGGCGGGCAGGGGTTCCAGGTGTGTGTCGTGTCTCTTGCGTTCTGCGTTCTTGGTTTGCCATACGTTTTTTTTGGGGTGGCTCTTTGTCGTCTGGCCTCCTGTTTTCGGAGTTGCGGCCGCCCGCACACGCGGTGGGCAGTCGGGGCTCGCTGCGCGGGGGTCTCCTCTCCGCCCGAGCGACGACGATTTCGCCCCCCAATTTATTTATTCTCCTCCTCTTTCGGCGGCGTTTTACGCGCGCCCACCCCGCTTTTTTCCTTTCTTTCCTTTCTTTTTCTTCGTTTCTCTCTTTCTGGACGTCGCCATCGCCGGCATGCATATGCGTGTCCGGTGGCCATGGTACTCTATCACGGCGATCCCTACCAGCCACCTCGCTGCCCTTTTTTTTGGATTCTTTCTTCTTTCGGGTCGTTTTTTCCCTCCCTACGACTTTGGCTATTGATTCTGGGCGCTCGGAGCGCGCATTTTTCTTGGGTTTGCGGTAGTCGACTTGCGCTGTGTATGCGTGGATGGACCGGCGTCGTTAGGGGCCGCACGCACGCGTGGCGGGCGGTCTCCTCTCCGCCTGAGCAACGACGACGATGGCGCCGCACCCAATTTGTTTATTTTCCTCCTCCTCTTTCGGCGGCTTTTTTACGCGCGCAACCCGATTTTTCTTTTCCTTTCTTTCTGGACGTCGTTCACGCCCCGTTCCATCCCCGGCATACATATGCGTGTCCGGTGGTACTAGTACTCTATCACGGCGATCCCTACCTTTTTTTTTTTTTGGATTCTTCTTCTTTCGGGTCGTTTTTCCCTGTCTCTCCCTTTTTCTTCTTTGGGTGCTCGTCTGGTCGACTTGCGCTGCGTATGCGTGGATGGACCGGCGTCGTTAGGGGCCGCACGCACGCGTGGCGGGCGGTCTCCTCCCCGCCTGAGCAACGACGACGATGGCGCCGCACCCAATTTGTTTATTTTCCTCCTCCTCTTTCGGCGGCTTTTTTACGCGCGCACCCCGATTTTTCTTTTCCTTTCTTTCTGGACGTCGTCCACGCCCCGTTCCATCCCCGGCATACATATGCGTGTCCGGTGGTACTAGTACTCTATCACGGCGATCCCTACCTTTTTTTTTTTTTGGATTCTTCTTCTTTCGGGTCGTTTCTCCCTGTGTCTGCCTTTTTTGGGCCTTGGCTTGGCTTTAGCTTTTGGGTATTGATTCATTGGGCGCTCGTGCGCGCGCATTTTTCTTCTTTTCTTTGGGGTGGTCTGGTCGACTTGCGACCGGCGTCATTTCTCGCTCCCGGGCGGCGATATATCCGACCTCGTGGGCGTGGGCGTGGGCGTGGGCGGCGATATATCCGAGCGCGTGGCCTCGTGGGCGCTCACGCCGATCACGGAGAATGTCCGTCCATCCGTGGCGTCCTCCGATGTCCGTGATGGCGTGGCGTAGCGTGTCAGTCGGTCGGTCGGGCTTGCGTTCCGCCTTTGTCTCTTCTCTTTCCTCCTACTTCCCTTCTCCCTCCAGCCGCTCCCCTACTTCTTCCCTTCGCCTCTTTACTGTTTGCTGTTTACTCGTTACTCTTTACTACCTTCCTTCTCCTTCTCCCCCCCTTCCCCTTCTCGCGCCTATACTAACCCCACATGCAGCCCTCCACGCAGTCCTCCGCCCAGCACCAGTCCCCCGCCCAGCAACATCAGGCGCAACAACAACAGCAGCAGCAGCAGCAGCAGCAGGGCGGGTTCTCGCCCCTGCAGCGGCTGCCGTCGCTCAACATCCCCGCCGCGCAGGCGGTGTACGCGAGCCCGCAGAGCGCGATGGGGGGGATGCAGAGCGCGATGGGGATGGGGGGGATGAGTGCGTGTTTTTTTCTTTTCTTCTCTCTTTTTTGGTTGTGCTTTCTTTGGATACGACGCTTTCTTTTTTGGATACGACGCTTTCTTTGATACCACTCTTCCCTTTCGTATTTGGATACCCGATGAGTGGATGATGATCACTGACACTCCCCCCTAGTGATGTCCCCCGGCGGCGGCGCGGGCCCGACGGCGGGCCGCACGGTGTACATTGGGAACTTGCCGCCGAGCGCGAGCGTGGATGAGCTGCTGAATTTGGGTGAGTCGGGTTTTTCTTTTTGATTTAGGGGTTTTTTTTTGTGAGGGCTGGGGAGGGGGGGTCGTCCGGATGCGGCTTGCGTGGACGGGTGACGGGAGCGGGGGCGGTGGCGGCGGCCAAGTCCTGCGAGTTTGGCGGAAGCGGGAGAGGGAGACGGAAGGGGAGGGGGGGGTCGCAAGCGGGACGAGGGGATGGACGACCGGCGTGCGTCCGTCCTGGTCTGCCGCTGCGGATGCGGGCCGACGCAAGCGCGCCGCCCGATGCGTCCAAGTGGGGGCGTCCTCCCTCCCTTCCTCCCCCTTTCCAAAACGCAATTCACTCCCATTCACTCCCACTTCCTCTATCTAATTTACTCACCTCACATTGACTAACCCGCAAACCACCTCACAGTGCACTTTGGCCCGCTCGAGTCGATCCGCGTCCTGCCCGAGAAGTCCTGCGTCTTTTTGTCGTTCTTGGACGCGCCGACGGCGGCGGCGTTTTTTGCGGATGCGAGTTTGAGGTGTGTGGTCGTTTCTTTTTTTTGGGAGCGTCTTTTTTTGGAGGGGGTGAGGTGGGAGGTGGAAGGGTCGACGACGGTTAGCGCTCCGACGAGGTGACGACAAAGCCAGAGCCAGAGCCGCGCGTATTTGGTGTGAGATGGGTACGCGTACGCGCTTGGCGGGTTTTCGCGAGTGCGAGCGTCGGCGGGCGTCGCTTGGGTGCTGCTGGAGCTGTGGACGGCCGTCGCGACGGTCTTGGCGGGCAGTACGCGTACGGCGCCGCGCGTCTGCGTGATGACGAGTGCGCGTCTGCGTCTGTGCAGCCGGGCGAGAGCAGCGTGGGCGCTCCACCGTCGTGTCTCCCTCCTTCCCCTCCCTATTCTCCCCATCCCTCCCCTCCCTACTCTCACTGACACACGCCAAACAGGAAACTCTCCCTCCACGGCCAAGAGCTCAAAGTCGGCTGGGGGAAGCCGAGCCCGGTGCCCGCGCAGGTGATGCAGGCGATTGCGCAGAGGTGCGTGTTTTGCGTGTTTTCTGGCGGGTTTTTTTTTCGGTGGGGAGTGCGCGGGGGGAGAAGGAAGGAAATAAATGACGGAGGACAGGTCGATCCTGATGGACGGCGTGTTTGCCGTTGCACGGACGAGACGGAGTCGGAGGCGTGCGTGTTTGGTGCGCGGGCGCGGGGACTTATTTCCGCCGGGAGACGGCAGGAAAGGAAAGGAAAGGATGGGACCGCGTCGTTTCTCACCTCCGCGCGCGCGTCGTCCTCCCGGAGAGTCGCGTCCTTCTCCTCGGTTCATGTGCGCGCCGACGGATGCGTTTTTTCTTGTGCGAGGTGGGAGGGAACTCCCCGCGCGCCCGGCGTCCTCCCTCCTCCCTTCCCATCCTCTGTCTCCCTTTCCGCCCTTTACCTTTACTAACCCCCTTCCTCAGCGGCGCCTCCCGCAACGTCTACCTCGGCGGCCTCGAAGAGGGCATGACCGAGGAAGCGCTCCGCGACGAGCTCGGGCGCTTTGGGCTCATTGACCAGGTCAAGATCGTGCGGGACAAGAATATTGGGTTTGTGCACTTTTTGAGTATTAGCGTTGCTACGAAGGTGGGTGGATGTTTTTCTTCCTTTCTTTTTGCTTTTCTGGGAGATGGTGGAGAGCTGTCGGTCGTAGGCGCACGACTTGCCTTCGCATCGACGTTTGGGGGTGTCGTGCGAGGCTGCATCA